TATGTATGTTTGTGTGTGTTCAGACTAATTCATCACTTTTGTTTTTTTCCTTTCTTCCACTCCTTTGGATTAACTCCTGCTCCCTGATGACAATCTAATATTTGCTTTGTGATCCAGAATCTTGATCTGTATAAATTTAACTATAGATCGATAATCTATAAGTGATATTACAGGACCCTGGTGGACAGTTGTCAGCAGCCGGTGTTTTGCTCCGGTGCAGCAGAGGAGGCGAACACGGAGGAAGTCCCCCCACGGTGTCCGGATGTGGACGTGGCACAGCGCTGCAGCAGTTCCGCTGAATGTCCGCTCCTGACACCGACAAGAGACGGGATTAGTGACAAACAACCCGGGACGACGTCTGCCTCCGAGTTTGTCGGCCGCCGGGTTTCTCAGCTCGCCCCGGACAGAGGATAACCTTTACTATTCACAACACTTCGGGGGTATGTTTCGGTTCGAGGCCGGTTAATGAGTATCATAACCCCGTCCGGCTCTGACTCTTGACGGCGGAGCTTGGATTCTGCTTCGGTTAGCTCATGCTAGCTAATGCTAACGGACGGCTAGCATCGCCCCGCGGAGTACCTGGAGCTTTACTAGCTTAGCTGCTAGGCTAACTGCTGCTAGGTCCGGTTGCGGCGATACCCGGCCACAGCTGATTCAGCCGCTCGCTGCTGTCATCGTGTTTCAGGTTGACCCGCTGCCAGTGTCAGCCAGCGAACCAAACCCTCCCCACTTTAAAGTTTATTAAACGAAAGCTGTTTTTACACCAGCGCCTGTTAGCCACGCCGTTCATTAAACCAGGTTGTGTTTGTGGGGGTTGCTTGACATGTTGTGTTGCTAAATGTCGGCTAGCCAGTGAGCTAATGCTAATGCGGCACTGAGGTTGGCTCCTGTTAGCATATTGCAAAGCTCTCTAGCCTTTTCATGTTGTCACACTTAACTCCTACGAAGCGTGTGTTCTTTATTTGTTCATCTTGGATGTGTTTGTGCCCTCCGGGTTTTCCAAACCGCCGACCGAGTCCCGTGATGGTGCAACCCCGGCCAGGGAGAGCAGATGTGGGTCACTCAACAGGCCCGAAGTACTAAATAGCTGGTCGGCTCCAGCGATTGTATTTCTCGTTGTGGCACCTGCACTGCTGAATTATTCAAAGGCCCCGCTCGTTCAGCCCGTGTTTGTCTGTTAGCTGATACTCATCACTCTGTCATACAGGTGAGGCCACTCCACAAGCCTCAGTGAATACATAACTCCGTGTATCTGTTAGCAAGGCTCACGCTGACATGTGATGTGGAAGGAGTGATCAAGCCTGTAAGTCGAGCCACTCTTTGGGGCCATGTCATAACTCCACTGTTAAACATTTATCTCAGCCACATGCAGGAGTCAGGCAGACTGTCACCATCATATCAGGCTTCGGATGTCACTGAGAAAGTGTCACAAGTCCAGTGGATTGTTTGTGTCCAGCTTTACATTGTTGCAATTGTTTGCTGATCATTTTTAATGTGAAGTGACTTGTGTCAACAGTTTGTGTGTAAACTGAATTGTTAAGAGGCCAAGGAGCAATCTGTGGGTGTGGCACAAAAAGCCAATAAAGGTGTTGTTACTGAACCAGGAAAGAGTAACGTTAAACAAGGCCCGCTGTGTGACTGACTCAAGGTCTCCATTGACAGCTTAGAGCTGTGTAGGCTCCAAGTGCTTTGTTTGTTAGTTCAGGTGCGTGATGAACTACTCAGTGTGCGACTGTCCCGTCTTCTCAGGACTGCCTCCAAATCTTTCCTCACAGTGATCTGACTATAGCTCAGCTCAAGTACCATTTAACTAAACTAGCCAAGACTGTTCCTTAAATGACATACTTTGCAGTTAATAATAGACACACTTAAAAACATTCCTGTTTGAGTTTTCTTTCCATTTTGTGACATTGACATACAGCAGTTACCACCTGCTTGAAGGGGCATGGCCTGGGTTCGAGTGTAAGGTATTATGTAGTGGATGTATGTTGACATGAGTCATAATCAGGCTCTGCTGTGTAAAAGGGAATCAAAATTCAGATTTGTGTCCATAGACAATATTTTTCCCTTATTTGAAACAGTTTATAGGTTTTATGTTGCAAACAGTCTCCGTCCCTTCAGGGGAGGGGAACCCAAACTCTCACAGTAGTCTCAGTGGTGAAATCTCAGTTTCCACCTTGGAAACAGGTTAAGTGAGTTTATACCATACTTGTGACAATTCGTTTTACAACTGTTTCACAATCTATCCAGATTTAGGGATGAACTGAGGAGGATGAATGTAAACCAGCACACTCCAATGGCCTCTCCATACGGCCAGCCCCAGCCTGGCTACAGCCATCCCGGCTACGCTCCCCTGGATGCGGGATATCCTGTCCAGTACGCACCCTACAATGGCCCTGCCTCAGCCTACCAGCCTGGGGCTCCACCACAAGGTAAAATGCAGCTTCTGAGCAAGTGTGCATCAGAGTGAGTAAAAGAGAGTGACTCCAGAGCTGCTATCAGACATGCACTGGACTCTGCAGTTCCTCTGTATTTTTTCCAGAGGAGGTGCATGTGTGAACGCAAATGTTAGAGGTGGGGAGTGGATGACATGAATGAAAAAACAAAAAGAAAACACATATCTCCCGGTGAAAAAGCAGAGTCACACAAGTAGAAGATGTCAAGAGAGTTTGTGCTGATAAGATCTGATGAAGTGTCAGGGTGCTGTACACATCCACAGCAGACTCACTGTGTTGAGTATGTGTGAAAGGCAAACTCCGGGTAAACTCCCTAGCCAATTCTCCAGATTTTACCCAGATGTCACTTCTGAAAACGGCTCAGGTAAACTGTGATGCTCTGCAAGCATCTTCAGAGCCAATTACTTTGCTTTCCGCCATTTGGATAACCATGTATGTGTGAGAAAAGCACCCTAGCTGTGCATACTAATCTGAATCAAATGCCCTCTCATTCCTTCATGTTGCTTTACACTTTTCCCTACCTCTCTGTGTGTGTGCCCTCTTTCCCTTCTTTTCTTATATTTCAGATTATTCTCCTTTCACAAGCTTTCCCTCTAAGGCTGTGGCAGCCACCCCAGTCTCTGACCTCTCCTCTCCTCTTGACTTAGGTAACTGCCTCCTGTGTTTTTCTTGCTCATTTCACACTCTACATGGTCTGCAATCATCTCAAGTCCTCTCTGCAGCTACAGGCGTTATTCTTGCCACCATGTCTTTTTTGGTGGAGGATAAAAGATCATTAACATTGGAGACTACTACTATAAATAATGGCTGACTAGTTACTAACCTTTTTATTACTTAAGTTTTGAAGTGACGAGAAACATTTTCCCATGTGAGAGTGATGTTCCAATTCAAAAACACAGTTCTACTTACTCCCCCTAGTAAAAACTGTTAGAATACAGGAGATTTTTACAGAGGATACTGGGAGCGATTGGGCCTCTTAATGATGTTTCTAACATGTGACAGATGCAAAACTGAAAAACGATGAGAATACAAATATCTGAGAGGTGTGGCTTTCATTTCAAGTCTTGATTGGTCCCATGAAGCCTTCTGACCATCTCAGCACAGTCCTTGTATCAGTCTGTTGTCTGTGCTGCTAACGTTTTGGAATATGATCATTTAGTTTAAAAAAAGGTGTCGTGTCCTATCGCTACTAATCTCATCACAATAGAAAGATTGAAATCTGAACCGATCCGGGATTGTTTACAGCTGGTTTCACTTTTTTTCAGGTCTTTGTGTGTAATGTCTTGTCTCTGCTTTTCAGGTCCTGCCAGGGGTCCTCCCACATCTGGACCCCCGCCAGTCTCAGCGCCCCAACCATAT